AAGCCTTTGCAGAAAGTCGCACCATCAAGGCCTGGGAGTCCAGAATGACTATTTCTAGCTTGGTTCTTACTGAGGGTATCTTCATTTTGCCTCCTAATTTTGTCTTAAATGTGATCTCGTTGGGTAATTGTGTTCTAGTCATTGTCTTTCGTACTACTTGACCCTACTATATCCCCTTGACAGTGTTTAGATCATTTTGCAGTTATCTGTTTTTTGCCCCTATCACCAAAATTTCTGAAAGTGAAAGACGTCATCAAGGAAAACACCATACATCCGAATCTGGGAGTAGTACTGTTTCCGCACCTAATCATCTCCCGAGAAATCCCTTCCAACTTTAACCAGCCCGTATTTCGCTCTTCTAGGGCTGCCGCCTTGGAGCTACTCAAGGAAGCAACCAAATGGAACTACGAGTCTTGGCGAGTGTGGGAAAACATTCTACTGGTGAGTTTTCTCGAACTAGCCTTTTACATCCCCACCATCGATAGCGAAGCGTCACAATATAGTAGACTGCTCTTGACAGCACATCTAGCACCGACAAGATCCAGACTAGACAGTTGAACTAAAAACCAGTCGATGGGATCATAGGATATCCTGTGCAGTTAAACTAGTTTTGTAAACCAAAAACGCGTCCGTGTTCTCTTTCACCCCCCCCCTCCCCCACCTGCGCAATATTCCCTCAGCGTGTCACTTATGCAGGTATTACTTCCAAAAGTAACTACCATAATCGCTAATATCCTTAATCATCCCTCTTCAGGTGAGCATAGACGTGGCCGCCTTCGGGGACACAATTAGGGCCTTCCACCGACTTATCGACCTTCGGCAGAAACATGTCGATCCTCAGGTACTGGGCATTCTTGTGCGAGCCGTCTGCGAGGATACGCCCGATAAAGAGGGCCGCGGAGCATCAAGGTATCGCAGCAAACTCCTCGAATTGATGGGTCGTGTCACCTCCACAGTAAGCAGCTCACAGACTTTACTGGCTCTGTTCTTTCCGAGACCGTGTTACATCTTCACTTTTTACTCCCGTAGGCGCCATCAGACGCGGACACCTGGAGGCTCTATGCCACTCTGTTACTGGACGACTACGACCAGTCCAAGCCCAGCGTATTTCAGCGGGTGAGGTCCAATTGTCGGGCAACGATTTCATTTTATTCCCCCAGCCCCTCCTCCTCTCATACTTTAGGCACCAGCCTTTCCCTATCTCTGGCGCCTCTGAATCTAATTGCACGCCTCGGAAACTTTAAGTGTGACTTTCTCCGGCGAGCTTTGCCTTTCATGCTAACACACTGATTGGTTATAAAAGTACCACAGAATGACAACTGTTGCAAAACTTACTCATTTCCTCCTTGCTCTCCCCCCCCCCTTCGTCCATTCCAGGCTGTCCAGTGTCTCCAAAAGTCCTACCACTGCCGCCTCAAGAACGTCCAAAGTGGATGGGAATTAGTCACTAAGACCCGCTCCGCCCTAATAACCGATTTGCGAGCTCTAAACAAACTGCTGCTGGCTGAAAAGGAGGCCATCTGCGGTGAGAAGGTAGCCGAAAAGAAAGAAGAGGTCACGCCGGCTGGCGATGAGACCGTCACTACCGATGCTGAGGCAACTTCCCCAAAACTGACTCAAATAGCTTTTCTTCACTCATCTCTCTCCTCCTTGAGACTCAGCATAAATTCCCTCGTGTCGCGACTCAAGGTAGGCCGTCGCGTCACGTGCACGTTTTTGTTACCTATTGAGGCATTTCCTGTGCGAAGAGTCTTGTTTTGTGGCTGGCTTTCTCTGTTTGTTTCTCACTGGCCCACTTTGTCGTTTAACGTGGTAACAAAGACGAGAACTGACATTCAGACGGTAGATGTTTCAGACCTATTCCATGTCCTCTTGCCCTTCCCTATTACGAAATGGCGGAGGTAGATTGTTCAATGGGGAAAGGAGTGGTACCGGCACAGTCTGTCCATTCAACCGATTTTTTAGACGTCCACTCCAACCCATTTTCATAGGTCGGAAGGAGCTGTACAGCTGACTATTTTACAACCACTGGGCATTAAACTGTTCGGATTGAATCACGGGCCAATTATTTTGACCCTTATTCTTAATCGTACTGCCGTTTGAACTGTCGGCCGTGTCTGAGCGATAAACCTTCTGTAGACGGACTTGCTGTTCTCAATGAGCTGTCTCCTGACCTCATACACTGTCACAAACATAGTATCAGGCAAGTCTTGGCGCTATTGGTTCCTGTTAAACGCACCACCTCACTTTCCTTAAGCCGCCCTCTCGGTCTTAGACGTTCCATGCACATAAATGCGTGCCGGGCAACTGCATCCAATTCCTCAAACGATTTAGCTTACTCAGTTTGTCTGAATTCTCCCTGCACGTTTTAACCTAGGTGTTTTCCCGTCCCATCTCGTCGGATTTTCTAAACTTTTTTTATAATTTCCTCCGTTTAGAAAGCCGGTGACTGTTGCATGGACCCCACGGTCTCTTCCGACCTAAATCGTGACGTCGAGACTCTCAGGGAGATGTTATCTGCAGTGACTAACGTCCTCAATGATCTGCCACCTGTCTAAATGTTCCCCCATCTCCCTCATATTTCCGAAAATATAAAAATCGTGTATGTCAAGTAGAATTCCTTCTCTGGAATACTGACGTTGGTGTTTGTCACTGTTTTGCTTTCCATTTTCAAATCCCCTTTGGCGTCTATCTTTCGACATATCGTATCAAATCAGCCTCACATAGCTTTAGCTTGAAAATCGTCATTTCTAAGTTGGAAGGCGCATTCCCTGCAAAGCGTTCTACATAGAATCCAGTTAAGTACCACGGTTAAGTTGTAAACAGGGGCCCACATCAGCCAAACAGGGTTCAAAAAGTCATGCATTCGGTTCTGCCCGTCGGTATTCCTCTTAACCAACGCTTTTCTGACCACGCGTGTTGTCCTCACCGACTGGCTTTACTAAGCTGCCCTAGCAAAACTAGCTTATCGGGTGATTCGGTATATTCTCCCAGCCCGCTAATTAAATTAGTAACTGTGCTCCTCTAGGCTTACTGTGCCCCGGGGTGGTATGCGAGAGTAATACTACCATTCTAGAGACTGGTATCTCGAAAACGCATGGAAGTTTTCCTAGTAGAAACGGGAATAACTGTGTTTTAAGTTCCGTGTTTTCTCCCGCGGCTGGCAGACCCATCGTTGGGGCTTCTAGCATTTTCTTCCTATTGTTTGCCTGGTGTGGAATAATCCCCTTTAGGAATTTCAACTAAGGCATGCTTATTTCCGAAATCTGTGCTATTTTACTAGGGGAACCGCGTAAATCCTTTCGCACTTTTGTAGGCAGGCCCCCGGTGGCCATTAAAGACTGCACTGGATGCGGTTCGCGTCGTGTACTTTGTTGGCAGCATTGGTAGACTCCAGCATGGTAGACCACACGATTCATCGTGTCAGCGTCTGTAAGGCCCTCATAATTACTGACATCCTCAATATCTTCAAGAATAAAGTTAGCATACGACGAAAAATTGTGATGAAGTGGACATAAGACATGCATTTTACGCATCCCTCGGGTGCGTGTGATGACACTTTTGAAGGCATCGGAAAGCTTTTCTTTTTAAGTAAAGCGTCTTTCTGAGTACACTCTACAGTTTCTACACTCTCAGTCGAAAGCCAGCACACCGGCCTATATTAATAAATTTTCGACTATGTTGACTACTCATCGCTTTTACAATCGAATGTAGATAATCTCTTCTGTTTGAGGGCATATCAGAAACGTTCTATCAATGGGCTCGGAGTTCCTGGGGACACTGGAGTGTTTCGGATGCGACACTGCGCCCTTGGCCGTTCTCTGACAATCTCGCTGTTTGAGCACTATGGTCTGATACTCTTTTTTCGCTGACCGGCCCAATCTGTGGGTTAAACAGTAAGAGATAGGACTGTTAAACCACCTTAAGCGGCGATCACCACTGCTCCACATCTTGAGTCAAGTAGTTGATCGTTAACCTTTAAGGTGGCGGCTGAGGTCCGCAGGAGGCGTTTGT